GCCCGGGGGTCCCGCGGCCGACCCCCAGGTCTCCCAGGGTAGGGGTGGGTTGCGGCCGAAGCACCTGCCAGGTGAAGCGGGCGCTGCGGGCCCTGGTGCGCCAGGCGGAGGCCGCCCCTCCCGGGGGAGCCGCTGGGCCGGTCCGCGGCCTGAGCCCCCGCCTCGGTCTCCTGGAGGGCACGTCCGCCGCTAAGCTCCTCTGCTTCCGAGGCCGGTGGCGGCTCGGGGGGACGGGCACGGCAGTGGAGGCTTTGCCATATGGCGTCGTGCAACACAGTGAGGTCTGGAAACAGCTCTCGGAGACAGCGGCGCTCACCGGGGCCTGCTGGGGGCGAAACGGGGCCATCGTCAAGGCACTGGCATTCCCTCCCTGTCATTTGCTGCTTGACAGACGAGGAAACAAGTCTGAAAGCCTGCAAAGCCTCCAGCACTACGCTTGGGAGAGGCTTTGAAACCTTCGGGCCTGCTCTTTGTCACAGTTTGGTTGTAGAAATGTGATGGACAAAGCAGTAAATCTATGTGGGGGCTTGTGCTTTCTTTTCCAGATGCCTGTGACCGTGGGCCCATATGGGCAGTCGCAGCCCAGCTGCTTTGACAGAGTAAAGATGGGTTTCATGATGGGCTTTGCAGTGGGCATGGCAGCAGGAGCGCTGTTCGGCACGTTTTCCTGCCTCAGGTATGCGGAGGACACGGCTTCTACGGACAGGTCGTGACAGAGTGATAGCCAGAGAGAAATGCTCCCACTCTGGGATTGGGAAGGGAGGTGTGGGTCTGGTCCTGCGTCATCACATAGGTGAAACTGCTCATGGCCCTGAATTAGCCTCAGGTTGAGAGCCTGCTGTCAGCCCAGCCTCAGATGGGAAGGTCTGGCGGCAGCGCCGCTGGGTCAGCTGCATATGAGGAGGTCGCAGCTTCACAGACCTTGTCCCACCACTCATGAGGGAGGTAGCATTGGGAAGTTGAGGCTGTGAAAGATCAGCTCCAGGAGCTGGATGAACTGTCTGTGCAGATACACATGCAGACCTCTCCTCACTGTAAAGCTTCCTGAGCTACTCTGCAAGCTCTTGGGTATCTGCATCATGGGTGCTTTGGTTGTCCCATACCCATGCATGGAGGCAATTACCGTACTGACCCCAAGTCTTAACTGCAGGAGTGTAGGCAGAGCTGTGGCTGGCTCTGGCAGTGTCTCACTGTGAATCAGAGAGGGACGGTATTCCACCAGCCCTCCCCAGCATGGAAACAAACCATGCCCGCTGCTCCAAGTTAGCTCTTGCACTGCTCACTGACTGGTTTTGGCACATACCCATGAAAAGAATTAAACAAACTTTCTGCTTGGGGTTTTTTAATCTGTGATTAAAGAAAGGTGATGCTTTGGTAGTGAGCATAAAGGGAGGAAAAGGCACAAAGTCCAACCTGGTAAGAGTTTAAAAAGTTTCTGATCTCTCTCAGATCATGGAGAGTCTTTCTAAGTGGTGCAATGCTACCAGAGAATAGAGATCTGGGTATTTAGAAGAAGCAGTGACAGTGGTTCTGTTGTACTTGAATGACACAGCTACATTCCTTCTGCTGTACCATTTTTGAGAGAAAACCTCCATGCTTTAAAAATCAAGTGCATTAGATTCCTTAGACCTTACAGTCACTACAGTGCATAAAAGCCAACTATTACAAGAGCTTCCTGAGAAGGAACAATTCTTTTGTTTCAGTCTAACCTCAAGTAAAGGGGGACTGAAGAACAGAAACGCCTCTGAACACTTATAGGCCTTCCAAGTTTCTCTCATATTAAAAATACAGTGTCAGTAGTAAATAGGAAGTGAGTTTACAACATAGTTTTTAAGTTGGTGGTGTTAAAAATACTGCCACTGCAGCCAGACAGGATGCTAATACAACAGCTCAGAGTCTTTTTATTCTCTGGCAAGTCAAATACTGGGACAGTGTAATTTTTCTTTTGCCAAATTAGGGATATTTGGGGTACTAGCAGGTGAAACTGTTCCTGCTGGTGACGTGGCAGGAGGGTACAGCATCAGCTGATACCACTGCAGGAAAAAAATACACGTGGGACAGTGGCAAGGGTCATTCAAATGCCCCAGAAAGAACAGCTTGCTCTCTTTTTTTTTTTCTTCTTCAGTATTTCAGGCTTGGGGCACCACAGCCAGTCTCCTTGTGGAGGCAGGAGGTACAATTTTAAATTTAGACTGAAGAGGAGGTGATTTGGGTGCTCAGGCAACCATTAGCTAGTTCTGTTAGATGTTTTCTGCTGTATGTTTGTGACCTGTCAGGCTTCAGCTTTTGTCTAATTCCTGTTTTTCTTTACCTCAGGATTGGCATGAGAGGACGAGAGCTGATGGGTGGAGTTGGCAAAACGATGATGCAGAGTGGTGGGACGTTTGGGACATTCATGGCTATTGGTATGGGAATCCGCTGCTAACCTGGAGTTTGGGTTTTATCCCAGAGCGTCCCCTCTAGCCATTCCCCCTCTGTTCCTTAATAAAATCTGTAGATACGTGGAAGTGAGAGCTCTTCATGAAGGGATGAAGCACCTTCCTCCTAGCTCTGCTGATTGTAAACGTGCTTTTTACCAAATTTCTACTTTTCTCCCATCTCTTACTCCCATGATGAGGAGAATTAATAATCCTTTGTTCTACATTAAAGTTCCTATTTGACAGGTGTAAGTACAGTGCACACATTTGTCCCTGTGGTACTTGGGCAGCTCACATTGTCATGTGTTGATGTGGAGCTGTTCTGTTGCATTTGTGCATTCCCCAGTCCAGGAGAGTTAACTCTGTGGCCAGTTCAGATCACCTATCAAATCTCTCTCCTCTTGCAAAAATAGGTGGGTCAAAGCTGGCCCCAGTTCCACTGAAACTTGAGATACGGGGAAACACCCTCATAGAGTTGAGGACAGCAGAACCTGGGTGAGTCCTTCGGCAACTGAGGGCAAACTAGAACAGCTGAGGCACTTCCTGACAGCCTGGCAGCACAAGGGTGCAGGGAGCAGTCAGGGAACAGCACAGAACAGCTATGGGCATGCTGCTAGAGCTGGGAATCATTCAGTTACTGGAAGAAGGAGAACTGCTCCTGACCTATGACAGCTAAAGGTATTTTGTGGTGAGTCACAAGGATAACTCTGACACCAGATAGGAGAAGTTTAATGTCCTTGTCAAGCCTTGAGCAATGCTTTTCTTAAGGCTCTGCCCTTGGGACCAGCTGTGCTGCAGGTTACAGCACAGAGTAGCCCAGCTGGACCAGGCCTGTCCCTGCTCCCAAGGCTGCAGTCTGACACCCTCAGGGCAGGGGCACAGCACTGTGCCAGGAAGGGCGGCAGCAAGGCTTGGGGCTGCAACAGGAACAGGCAGCAGCTTTTTCCATCCCCCTGGCAGGGGAAGGGGCTTCACCTGAGGATCTGTGCTACCAGAAACTTCTAAGTGTGGCTACAAGGAACTGAATGCTTCCCTGAGAGAACAGGGGATTTACTCTGACATTCACCAGCCCACAGCCCTGCCTACAGCTGAACTATGAAATGCTTAGTGTTGCAAGCTCCTATTATTTGCCTTTTGATACAAGGCTTACCTTTGCTTCTCCATTTCTGTTTAAAGGCAGGACAGGTCAGCAGCAGCAAAACCGGAGCTAGCACCTGTACAACCTTTACCTAGTAAAACTGCTGTTCCCCATTTTTAAAGAAAACACAAAATGCCAGTAAAAGCCAGCTGCTGTCATAGAGCTTGGTAACCTTGGAGAAACTGCCAACCAACCTCAGAGAAACTGCTCTGTAACAGCTCGGTTTTACTGGCTGGCACCAGTGGATTAAAACCAGAAACTAAAGACACACTTGGCTTTCTTCAGCCATGTCACATAGACACCCACCTCCAGAACATTCCTGGCTCCTCCCCACAGCTGCCCAGCCCCTCTCCTCCCAGCTCCCCCTGGACTGCCAGCAGTCAGTCCTGCCCCTCCCTGAGCAGCAGCACTGCAGGGTGGGCCCTGGCACCATCCCTGCCCACCCAGCTCCAGCACCTGGCTGGCACACACCCTCTGCACCTCTGTCAGCACAGGTTTTATTAGCCAGTGGCTGCAAAAGGACAGGCAGTAGGAAAGGAGTACCCAGAAAGGGCAGTCAGCTGGGGCAGGCTTCCCTACAGAAACCTACAAGGCAACATCCATCACTCCTACATCCCCACAATGCACAACCATTTGTGAAAGATGGGGGTGGGTATGGGCAGGGGGGAGTTCTCTCTGGAGTGAATCTTCAGCAGGCCCAAGACAGGGCAAGAGCCATCCACTGCCTGGCCAGGGAGAAAACCCACAGGCTCTTCACCACCACAGGTGCAGTGCAGAGGGTAAAAACAGCAGGCACCAGTTCCTGCATTTTCTGCAAGAGGAGCAGTATCCCAAACATCTATCACTTTGAAGCAGCTATCCCCTCACCTCCAGTCTTCAGCATACACTGCTTAACTCAAATCAAGCAGAGAAATGAAGCTTCATGAAGGCCTTTTTAAGAGAATTTTATTTGAGTGGTTCTTACAAAGATTGTTGCAATATGAAAGTCTTTGTTTGATAGAAATATCAAGCTGTCTTGTCAAACACACTGAAGTAACCCAAAAATATATTTCAGAGCTCACAGAGCTTAAAAAGAGCAAAGATTATATGCAACCAGAACAAAACACGTTTCTGTATTTCCTACCAACTTCCAGACTTGGCTGAAATCCTTCAACTGTGCCACGCTGCATACATAGAAACTTATGTGGAAATGCAGAGATCGTTTTGTTTGGAAACTTAGACACACCTCACACAGTATTTACAAAGAAACTTTTACAGATACATTAATCAAAAGTTACCATCAAGAAATAAAACCCTTCAATCCTTCTATTCTTAGCAATTATTCAGCACAAAGCAAGCTGAGTGGCTGTCCAGAATCAGCTTTCAGTAGCCTTTTGAATTTCCCATTTATACAAAACACTAAATATGTCCCTTCATAAAGTCTATTTCCGATATTAACCTTTAGCAGATCACCTACATTTAGTGAAATGTAAAATGTAATTGCTGCATTAAAAGAAAGGCTTGTGAAACATTAAAAATGTCATTATGTCCCATCTGCCTTTTACAGAGAACTTGTTTTCTATGAGCTACTCCTCAGTTCCTACAGATCACCTTAGTAAATGTACAAGAATTACAAGGCAGAACAAGAAGTCAACAGCTTTGTATACAGTGGAAATGCTAGTTAGGGAGAATGAACACACTGCATTTCTGCTTACTTCATTTTATTTTTAAAGGTAGCAGGAAGTGTACACAAAATGACATTAAATCCTTTCCTTTAGTTTTATCTAAATAAAAGATAACTCAATCTTCCTCCAAAAAATAACTATGTACAAAACTGACTAAATCTGTCTTCATCGTCGAACAGGAACCAGTAGTTGGGTTGCAGTCATAGAATCTGGAAAAAGGCTATGGTACGTTGGAAGAGGTACATACGCTGCTGTAATCATTTTACCTAATCAGAAGATTTAAAAATTTTTTTTAAAAAACAGTATTTGGTCATTTCTGTAATTAATGACTAAATGTAGGTCTCTACATGAAATCCACTCACCTGCAAACCACCTCCCATGCAACGCATTTACAGCTGCAATGGCAGCAGCAATTGAAGGACATTTGACATACACATTGCCCTGTAATACAGAAGTGTTACAGTCCATTAGAAGCTTGGAAAAAGTCCCACATCATCTATTTTCAAGACATTTCCTCAGTGTGGCTGTGACAGAGGCACACCTGCCTCACTGGTGTCTGCTGGTATCAAACAGTAACACAGACCAAGCATGACAAAACAGAGTAGTGGACAGCTTTCTACTGACATCCATCACCATAACTCTCATGAAACGTTTATAAATAGGATTTGCAAAACACACCAAATGTGAGATTGATCTGAAATCAACTAGTAATGGATTGCTCAATTGCTCATGACGACCCTTCAGAAAGAGGATGTAACAGCTTCTGATTACAAATCTCATGAAAAAACAGAAAAGCACAAAGAGTTTGGCTAGCCATAAAGTTCTGTAAATCACCAACTTTAACCAGAAATACTTAACTAGATAGGCAAGTTCAGTCTGATTTTCAAGGAATCAAGCACTCCCCATTCCTCAGAGCAGGAAGGATGTCCAGCACTTCAATGAAAACTGGTACTGTAAAAATTCTCCTACATGAACCTCAGCATCTGTCTGTCTTTACCTGAACAAAGACTGAGACTAAAGGAAAAACCCATCACAGCAGGGCAAGAAGAGCCTACGATGGTGTCTAATGAGAATGACAGACTGATCTTTTAACTTTGCCAGAGATAGCTTAAGTTTTCTATCTGCAGATTAAGCACTAAACCAGCCTAATCCAGAGTACTGCAGTATTCACATTCAACAGCTCAAAGACATACAGACATCCACAGTAAGGTGCAATGCATTTTTCTGGCTGCCTGCTTAAAAATAGACTGCTAGCAGTAATTTTTGAACCAGATCAGATTCCAGCTGAAACAGGTTTTACAGGAAAAGAATATATTAAGAAACAGAACTCAGCCTTCCCTTTAGCAGTCTTTGCCTGGCTATACTACTGTACTAACTCTTCTCCCTGTGATCTAACTCATTTGGGGGGGGGGG